CCAGGCCTCGCAGGTTGGGCCCTTTCACAAATCCGTGCTTCGGTGTGGGTCGTTTGCGCTCCTTGTCTCGGTCGTGGTCGTGGTCGTCGTGGTCGTGGTCGTGGTCGTCGTCGTCGTCGTCGTCGTCGTCGTCGGTGTTATCGTGGTGGTCGTCGTCGTCGTCGTCGTCGTCGTCGTCGTCGTTGTCGTCGTCGTCGTCATCGTGGTCGTCGTCGTCGTCGTCGTCGTCGTCGTCGTCGTCGTCGTCGTCGTTCGTCGTCGGCGCGTCGGCAGTCGGTGGCGTCGGCGTCGGCGTCGGGTCGGAGCTCCCCTCCCCCGCGCGTCGGCGTCGGCGTCGTCCTGAGTCGTGGTGAGTGTTGCGTCTGCTCAGGATCATCTTCCCTTTTGCCAGTGACCCCCCCCTCTCTCCTCCTCCTCCCTCCTCCTCCTCCTCCTGCTCCTTCCTCCTCCTCCTCCTCCTCCTCCTCCTCTTCCTCGTCTCCTTGCTCCTCTCCTCCTCATTCCTTTTTTTTTTTCCCTCCTCCTTCATCCTTCTTTCTCCTCCTCTCCCCCCCTCCTCTCCTCTCCTCCTCCTCCTCTCCTCCTCCTCCTCCTCCTCCTCCTCCTCCTCCCACACTCCTCCCTCCCCTCCTCCTCCTCCTTCCCCTCCTCCCCCTCCTCCTCCACGTTCGACTCTTCCATCCCCGCCTATGGGACAGCCGTCAGTGCACACGGCCGCCCAGGCAGCCTCCTATAGGGTCCGCTGCTCGGCTGTCTTCTCGCGGGATTCGGACTCACATCGTCAGGGGAACGTACCATTGTGTGCATGCCGCTTGAATGTTTTTTTTCGCTTGATTCCCCTCTTCTTCTTCTTCTTCTTCCCTCGCCTTCCTCGCCCTCGCCTCCCTCCTTTTCGGCCTTCCTTTCCGAGTCGTCCCGTGAGGGCAATTGTGCGAGTGCGAGGTACGAGTCCCGACGCTGTACGCACGTTTGGGATTTAGTGTCGTAATCCCGCCTCCTGCTTTTTCCCCTTCCTCCCTCCTGTGTTTGACGATGGCCTGACGTCGCGTGCAGTTGACGTCCCAGCAGGCGCTGTGCTGCGACAGTGCTCTTGGGGCACTGCTTCGGCCTGGGCGGTACAGCGCTGAATAGTGTAGCATTGGCCTTCACCCCTCTTGATTCGGGTTGCGGACCTGCTTCGCGATCTTTTTTCACTTGGCTTGTGCTGCGAGCTGCACGCGCGCGAGTTGACAGGGCCAGCATCGAAGCATGTGTATGTTGCGACGGAAAGCATCATTACCGTTCCCACTCGAAGCGATACAACAAGCGTGTCCTCCCCGTGTCCCACGCCACCTTGAGGGAGCATCGGCTGCCATACGTAGCGTGCTCTGTGCGGGCGAAGCGGCCCCGCTGATCGGGCGTGCATGCTTGCGCGCTCTCCTTTCGGATCTGTGATCGGCACGAGAATGAGAATGAGAACGAGGGGGGGGAGGGGAGGCCGAGCAAGTCGAACAGGATAAAGGGGGAGCTAGGTGTGATGCAGAGGGAAAGGAGTATGGGCACAAGAGGAGGGAGCATAGGAAGGAACTCGTGGGTGCGCCGCGCAGCGCCCAGCCGAGCTCTTTAGCCTGCGCACCGCATCGCCTGATCTGTTGCAGCCAGAGCTCCAGATGCCTGCGGCGAAACCCCGCCAACGGTGCCAGAACTGCATCGAAACGCATGCAGGATGGTTCTGCCGAGTTTTCGCCAGACAGGCTCGGCGGATCCATTCGGGGACCGTGCGAGAAGCATCGCTGCGGCGCTGCGGCACGGTGCGGCTGTGGCGTTGCATATGAGGCTGTCGCGTTGTCTCTTGGTGCCTTGTGCAGGCTTCCTGCGGACTTCTTTGGGGCCTCTTGGGGGCCTCGCAGGGCCCTTTCGGGGGCCTCTTGGGGTCTTCTGGACAGACTCTTGGGGCCTGTTGGTGGTCTCGGTACCGTCTTCAGCGCGGTGATTCTACCAAGCTTTCCCGAAGGGGCTCAGTTGAAACATCTAGGTGCCGTCGAGGCAGGTCTTAGGCCGTCTTGGATTCCTTTTGGAACGATCTTGGGTTGTTTTGGAGGGTACCCGGAACGTCAGAGGGACCCTCTCGGGGCCGTCTTGGGCTGCCTTGGTGGCTTCTCTGAAGCCTTCCCGAGGCCATCTTGGACAGACCGCATGATTGTCACTGTCGCAGACCTAGAGGTTGACACCAACACCAATTTTGGCGGTGTGCCTCCACCGAGGGAAGAAGATCCCGATCTCGGTGATGGTAATATTCTGGCTTCCAAGGTGACCGAAATATTGTAGTGGCCTCCGGCCAGTGCCGCCGATCCGGGGCGCTCCGCAAGATGATGATCAGGATGATGCTGCAGGGGAGAGGGCAGGGGAGGGGGTCTGCTCTGCAGGGGGAGTCCGCTCGGCAGTTGGAGGGACTGCAGGGGAGAGGGGTGGTCCGCTCTGAAGGAGGGGGGGGCTGCAGGAGAGGAAGTCTGCTCTGCAGGGGGCGGGGCAGGGGAGGGGGGAGCGTCCGCTCTGCAGGGGGGGCTGCACGGAGCGGGGTCCGCTCTGCAGCGGGGGGGGGGGTGGGCTGCAGGGGAGGGGGGGGGCGGTCCGCTCTGCAGGGGGGGGGTTCCGCTCTGGGAGGAGGGGGGGCTGCAGGAGGGCGGGTCTGCTCTGCAGAGGGGGGGGGAGCAGGGGAGGAGAGGGGGATCCGCTCTGCAGGGGGGGGGGGGGGGCTGCAGGGAGGAGGTCCGCTCTGCAGGGGGGGGGGTTGCTCTGCAGAGGGGGGGGTCAGGGGGAGGGGGGGGTCGCTCTGCAGTGGGGCGGGGGGGCTACAGGGGCGAGGTCCGCTCTGCAGGGGGGGGCGGGGGGGGGGGGCTGGGGAGGGGGAAGCGTTCCGCTGCAGGGGGGGGGGCTGCACGGAGCGGGGTCCGCTCTGCAGCGGAAGGGGGGGGGGCGGGCTGCAGGGAGGGTGGGCGGTCCGCTCTGCAGGGAAGGGGGGTCCGCTCTGGAGGAGGGGGGGCTGCAGGAGGGCGGGTCTGCTCTGCAGGGGGGGGGAGCAGGGGAGGAGAGGGGGATCCGCTCTGCAGGGGGGGTGGGGGGGGCTGCAGGGAGGAGGTCCGCTCTGCAGGGGGGGGGGGTGCTCTGCAGGGGGGGGTGGTGCAGGGGGAGGGGGGGTTCGCTCTGCAGTGGGGCGGGGGGGCTACAGGGGCGAGGTCCGCTCTGCAGGGGGGGGTGGGGGGGGCTGGGCTGCAGGAAGCGGGAGGGGGCGTTCTGCAGGGGATGGGGGGTTCCGCTCTGGGAGGGGGGGGGGGGCGAAGCACTGAATTAGGTCGGAATTAGGACGGAATTATGTAGGAAATGAGGTCCCCCCCCCCGCAGAGCGAGGCTTGAGCGAGCTCAAGCCCACGCTCTCAGAAACTCACACGCCGGATCGGCGGATTACCACCAACACCGTAATCTAGGATTATCTTGCCGATGTGGAGGCAACCCCCTGTGCTGGTGTTGGTGCCAATTTCCAGGCCTCCAACACTGTCTTTGGCCTTCCTGGGGCCACATTGGAGGCCTACTTGAGCAACCTCGGTGCCCTCTTTTGGACCGCGCTGGGCACGTCCCTGGGCCCAAGAGGGAGCGGTTCTCGTGGGGGGGCGTCTGGGCAGGGCCAGGGGAGCGTCGCCCATGGAAAGTTACAGAAGCCCCACAGCCAAGACGCTGAAGTACAGTGGAGAACCATGCCAAGGAACGGCCTGCTTGCCTCCAGGGTGCCCCGGGTTTCTTGGGTTTCTTGGGTTTTGCTATGAAGCGCGTGACGTTCCCGCACGAAAACTCAATGGACGTCCTGGGGTCGCAGGGTTGGGTTTCTCGTGGAAGGTTTCTTGTGGACCGACCTCCACGAGAGGGCTCGGGTCTTCGGGGGCCGTTCCTCGGATCTAGGCCGGGGGACCGATTCGTGGTCGAGGCTCGCCGCGGCCGGACAGGCCCCCTCGTCCCTTCCATCTCGGGGGCGGCCAAGAGGGGGGTGAGGACCAGGGGGGTGGATATCATGGCGGGGGCCATGAGGTCTCCCCAGATTTCGTGGCGTCTCTTCTTGTTTCAATGCGTCCCCGGCCCCCCCTGGGCCGCGCACATGCCGTCGGCCATGATTTGCCCCCCGCCCCCCCCCCCCCTCCCCTCCCTCTTGGACACCCCCTCTTGGCCGTCCCCGACCTTAATCAGCGTTCCTTCTGGTGGGACGACGGGTGTATAGCGTGAGACAGGCAGCATGCACTCTGACAAGCACAGGCTGTGCCGAGGGCGCGGTCGCGAACAGAGCGCAGAAGACGCCCAGCCGCAAGAATCCTCGCTGGCCCTGCCCAGGCAGCCACGCCCCTCCTCCTCCTCCTCCTCCTCCTCCTCCTCCTCCTCCTCCTCCTCCTCCTCCTCCTCCTCCTCATCGCTCCTCCTCGCTCCCCTCCCGCAGCCGTTTTGGCACTCTCGCTCTCCCGGCCGGCACCTCGTGGCGCGGCCCGACGGCAGGGCCGCGCCGGCGACGACCCACGGCCGGAGGCGGGCCGGCGATGCCGCTGGCGGCCGCCGACCTCCCGGGCCCGGGCGCAGAGGCGGGCGCCGCGTGGAAGCTGCTCCTCGAGGACGCCTGCAGGGAGGCCCTGCGGGAGGTCGCGCGGGGCGTGGGCGCCGGCAGCGCCCTGGCCGTGGAGGACCTCGTGCGGCAGGTGGCCGGGCGGGCGGCGGAGACGGCCGCGGGCAGAGGCCTCGGGCTGCACCCGCTGGGCCGCCCCGGCGAGGCCCCGCCGGGCTGCCCCGGCGACGGCCGCCCGGCCCGGGTGGCCACGCCGCTGCTCCAGGACTCGGCGGCTACGACGGGTGTGGTCACGCTGGGATGTGGCCTGCGATCTGCGCCACTATAGGGCTGGTCGGGAGCGAAAGAAGGACGTACACGTACATGGGTCCATGCTGGTCTCGAGAGCACGCCTAGAGCGAGCGTTCGGATCAGGAGGCCGGTCTCGCGGACTGGGGTGCCGTGTGCACGTGCGTGCTTGGGCGCGTGCGTCCTTCGTGGGCTCCCTAGCTTGGGGGGCACCGCGTTGCGCAAACATGGAGACGCAAACATGGATTGAGGCGCGTGGATTGGCGTTGGCTCCCGTTTCCATACGTCCATACAAAATCTGCGCGCTGTGTCGCCCAATCAGGCAGCACTGGCCTCATGTTTTGGGGGGTGCCTTCGCCGATCCGTGGATCTGGCGCCCACGCGCAAGATCCACAGATCCCCGATCCATGTTAGCGTGCGCCCAAGATGAGCCCTCGTCGGGGCGCGACAGAGAACTCTGTCGAGGTCCTCGCCCGCCCCCCAGGACGCGGATTTGAAACCGCGCCATTTGCAAACCACACCCTCCGGGGCTGCCGAAGGACATCGACGCCGTGCCCTGGGCGCTCTGGCGCGAGAGGCGCGAGGGCGCAGGCCCCCCGACCAGGCAGTGGTGCAGACTGGCGAGCGCCGGGGCCGGGACCGCCGACCTGTTGAAGGTCGACCCCGCCGAGGAGACCACGGCCTCGATCGACTCCGTGGAGACCAGAGCCTCGTTCGTCTCCGCGCAGGCCTCGTCCGCGTCGTTGGACGCCGCGGAGGATGAGGATGAGGAGGAGGAGGAGGAGGAGGAGGAGGAGCAGCTGCAGTTCCACGTCCCCCCGCCGCCCGTGGTCGCAGGAGCCCTGCCTGCGTCGCTGCAGAGCCGCTCTCACAGCGCGCTGCTGCGCAGCGCCGGCATTGGCGAGGACTGCGTGCTCGCTCGCGGCGGGCTCACCCTGCCAGCATGCAGCGCAGACACGCTCGCGATGGAATGGCACCAGCGCCCTCGTACTGTGCTCATCGTGGCCAAGCCTGGAGACCACATCGTACGGGAGGCCTTGCGGGACATGGTTGCGTGGCTGTCGTCAAACGGCATTGTGGTCGTGCTGGAGCCTCGTGTGCTTGAAGAGCACCGCTGCCTGGAGGGCTCCGCAGGCTTGCTGCGGACATTCTCCCCCGCGGACTGCCTTGAGCGGTCGATCGACCTGGTGGTCACCATCGGAGGCGACGGAACGCTCACCTGGGCCGTGTCCCTTTTCAAGGGCGCCATGCCCCCCGTCTTGTCTTTCGCTGCCGGCTCCCTAGGCTTCTTGACGCCGTTCTCCTTGAAGGACTGGTCTGGCACGCTCAGGGAGCTGCTCGACTCGCGCATGACATCTCTTCCGCCGACGCTGGTCTGCCGCATGCGGCTCTGGGTGAATGTCTATCGCCGGAACATGGCATGCGTGGACGAGTCTGTCCAGGTGCAGTGCCTCAACGAGGTGCTTGTGCACCGAGGCAGCTCGGGCGCGCTTGCAAAGCTCGACGTCAGCGTCGACGGCGAGCGCATCACGCTGGTCCAGGGCGACGGGCTTATCCTGGCCACGCCCACGGGCAGCACGGCCTACTCGCTCGCGGCGGGCGGCAGCATGGTGCACCCGGCCGTTCCGGCCATACTCCTCACGCCCGTCTCGCCGCATTCGCTGTCCTTCCGCCCCGCGATCCTGCCGGCGTCGTGCTCGATCGCCGTGCGGGTCCCGCTCACCGCCCGCTGCCCCGCCGCTCTGAGCGTGGACGGCGTGGACATCTGCCAGCTCGGCCTCGGCGACAGCGCCGAGGTGTCCGCCTCCCGGTACCCGGTGCCGACCATCTGCCGAACGTCGGAGACCAGCGATTGGCTCCCAGAGGAGGAGGAGGAGATACCGATACTCAGTGGGGGCCCATGTCAAGAAGCTCCCTGCTTGCCTCCAGGGTGCCCTGGGTTTGTTGGGTTTCGATGGTTTTGCAATGAAAGGGTGACGTTCCATCACCAGAAATCGATGAACGTCCTGTGGTCCCAGGGTTGGGTTTCTCGTGGAAGGTTTCTTGTGGTCGGGCCCCTACTGTACCCCAGACATGCTCGCGACTTGACAGACATGACAACGGGAGGTCTGTGGCCGTTTGCGGCCTCCAGGGGTCCTCGCCGGGCCACGGGGCCGTCAAGGGACGACTCGGGAGCAAGACCGGCCTCCTGATTGCTGGGGACCCCGTGTCAATAAGATCGAGAATCCTCAGGACGTGTGTCAGCCCAAACGTGTGTTTACTCCGTTCGGCTCCGCCGATAGCGAGCAGTCTGTGTCAGCCCTCGTTGAGACACCTGCGTCGTATTGAAGGGTCTCGGTGGACAACACATGCATTGGTGTTAGCACACGTTCTGAGGATCATCGAAAAAAAGCAAGACATCGCATATCTGGGGAATGATGTCGATACCGCTGCCCTCCCCTCGTCGCCACGGCTGCACTTGCCTCGGGATGCTGGTCAGAGCGCGCCCTGGGAGAGGTCCAGGGAGGAGCGGTAGTTTTGGATCGAGTCTCAAGTGAAAAGAAACATCGGCGGCGAGCGAGGGGTGGAAGTGAGAAGGAGAAGGAGGCCTTCTCAGAAGGCGGCGGGGCTTCTCAGAAGCCCTCACGCCTTTGATCAGTTTTTTAGTGTCTTCCGAGAAGTTTCTTGTGTCTTCGGGGAAGGCGTAGAAAACGTCCCAGAAGGCTGGAAGACTTCCGAGCTTTTTGAGAGGGCCCGCCCCGTCTCCCTTTCCCCCCTGGGTGCGCCGCCGCGAAAGGAGGCGACGCGTTCCGCCCCCCAGGGACTCTTCGGGCCACATTGCCTACGGTGCAGCACCGAGCGGACACCGTCGACAGCGGAACCCGGGGCGGAGCGGAGAGATGCAGTGCACGGTGGGGGGCTTCACAACAGAAACCACCGGGGGTTCCAGGGTTTCAGGAAAACGCAGTGGGGGCAGGGTACCTTCGTGTGCCCCCCAGGTTCGGCACCGTCAACCAGGCGCTGCAGTGGAACGGGCGGACCGAGCAGAAGGGCTGAGGGGCCGTGCAGCGCCGCTCCCGACCGGGGATCGCGGCGGGGGGATGGCCCTCGTGCGTCCTGGGCCTCCCGGATGGGGTCCCAGCAACCGGGGTCGGAGGATCGCGCCGCATCGCCGATGCGTCGACTCTGCGGCCCGATGTGGAGCCCGGCTTTCTCCACGCCGACGTCGCCGATGCATCGCCGATGCATCGGCGATGCGGCGCGATCCTCCTGACCCTTCTCCTCTGACCCCATTTGGGAGGCCTCTGCCTCGGGCCGCAGGCCAAGATGGGGCTGCGAAGCGACCCTATTTTCGGGCGACACCCTTTTTTTTGCCGGCTCTGCCGAAGGGTAAAGCCAGGCTGTGCCCCACGAAGCGCGGGGGTGGAGCCACGGCTCGAGTATTATGGAGTGGAGCTGACGAGGTTGTGGGTGGGGCAAGATGGGGGTGGGGCGTAAGAGAGTGACGCCATGGAAGTGTAGGTGGAGCGGGGCACCATATTGGATGATGATGATGATGATGATGATGATGATGATGATGATGATGGTACTGATGATGATAATGATGATGCTGATGATGCTGATGACGATGAAGTTGCTGCTGATGCTGACGATGCTGCTGATGATGATTATGATGATGAACATGTTGATGATTCGTGATGATGATGATGTTACTGATGTTGACTATGACGATACTGATGCTGATGCTGATGAGGATGCTGCTGCTATTGATGGGTGAGGATTATGGTGATGCTGGTGATGATATTGACAAGGATGATGATGCTGATGATGATGATGATGTTGATGATGCTGCTGATGATGATGCTGATGCCGATGCTGATGCTGATGCTGCTGCTGATGCTGCTGATGATGATGATGATGATGATGATGTTGATGATGCTGCTGCTGCTGATGCTGATGCTGATGCTGCTGCTGATGCTGATGCTGATGAGGATGCTGATGCTGCTGCTGCTGACGACGACGATCATGATGATACTGCTGCTGATGATGATGCTGATGCTGATGATGCTGATACTGGGTGATGATGCTGATGATGATGATGCTGATAATCGTGATGTTAATGATGATGATGATGATGATGATGATGATGATGATGATCGTGATGTTAATGATGCTGATGATGAAGATGATGATGCTGCTGATGATGATGATGATCATGATGATGAAGATGATGATGATGATGATGATGATGATGATGATGATGATGATGATGATGATGATGATGATGATGATGATGATGGTGGTGACGACGATGATGATGGGGATGATGGTGATGGTGGTGGTGGTGATGATGCTGATGATGATCCTAATGGTGGTGATGGTGATGAATTTGGGCGAAGCATAATCACCTACGCAGGTCTCCTCGCAAGCGGACGATAAGGCCATGCAGGCACAGAAAGACCTGCGAGGCGGAGCTGCAGCCATTAAGTCGCTTGTTATTTGCCTCACGAAGAAACTAGGAGTCCCGACGCCCGCCATGTTCACCATGCGCTCTGGTACTGTCCGCCTGGACGCCGATTCCTCTAAGTTTTTCTCCATGTCCTCAGGATGGGGTTCTTGTTATTAGTGTGACGCCTCCGCCTCCTCACTCACTCACTCACTCCCACGTCTTTCCTCCTCTCACCACACACTCAGGACTCATACCCGCACATATTCAGGCTCACTCACGCTAAAACTCATCCACACTCAGACTCACCAACATTCAGCACCACTCATGTTTAGGGTCACTCATACACAGACGACTCACACTCCGGCGCATTCATACTCCCTGATAGCTGGAGTCACTCATACCCAGACTCAAGTACATTCGCTTCCTTCATACTCGAACGCTCCACGCGGACATCCTACTGATACCCAATCATACTCAGACTCACTTATGTTCCGTTCACAGACTCGGGCACTTCACGCAGACTCCATACCCCGACTCACTTACGCGCATGCGCGCTCCCGCCGGGGGAGGTCCGCCAGGGGGTGTGTTGCACTCGCCCGTTCGCGGCCGGACTGTGGGGATGTCTCGGGCGGTCTGCTGGTCTCGTGGCCGGGTCTCCTCTGCTCTCAAGGCAGATCGTGAGGATGTCCCGAGCGAGGCGCTCGTTTTGGCACCCCAAGCGGGAGCCGCCAGGGCGTGTTAGTTTCGCCTGGTCGCGGCCAGACTGCTCAGGCGGTTGGCTCGTTTCGTGGCTGGGACTCCTTCGCTTTCAGAGCAGACCGTGAGGATGTCTAGAGCGAGGCGCTTGTTTTAGCTCGCCCTTTCGCGGCCAGATGTTGGGGATGTCTCAGGCGATTTGCTGGTCTCGTTGCTGGGTCTCCTCTGCTTTCATCGCAGATCGTGAGGATGTCCACAGCGAGGTTCGAGTTTTACCACCCCAAGCGGGAGCCGCTATGGGGGTGTTACACTTGCCTGTCCGCGGCCAGATTATGGTGATGACTCAGGCGGTTGACTTGTTTCGTGGCTGGGACTCCTTCGCTTTCAGAGCAGACCGTGAGGATGTTTCGAGGGAGGCGCTGGCTTTATTAGCACCGCAAGGGAGAGCCGCCAGGGCGTGTTGCGTGGGCCCGTTCGCGGCGAGCTTGTGGGGATGCTTCGAGGGAGGTGCTTTGTTTCGTGGCTGGGACCCCTTTGCTTTCAGGGCAGATCGTGAGGATGTCCCGGGGGAGTCAGACGCAACGCTGGTAGTGGCACTCCCGACCCGTCTCCCTGCAGAGCCCCAAGAGCATCCCGACGTGGCATGCGTGGCGTTTGGGCGCTCCGAGGGGCACCCGCCATTGAGCGCCCAGTCGCCACAGGCTGAGATTCTCTTACTCAGACACAGACACTCACAGACGGAAGCGCGAGAAACTGAGATGCATATATGGGGATCTCCGCGTCGAGAAATCCCTACTGCCAGCCTCGGTCTAGATCCTTGGGGGCTAGCTATTTTGCCTCGTGCACGCTCCTTTTCCTTCTGCCAGTGCTGCCAGCCAGCAGGTCAGTCGCTGTGGAGCAGCGCTCCGTAAGTGAACTCCCCTCCCCCCTTGTAGCCTTTCGCTTCCTCATCCCTCTCCTGCTCCTCGACCTCTCCTCCCTCCCCCTCCACGTCCCCCTCCGTCCCCGTCCTCTCTCTGCTCCTCCTCCTGCGGCTCCCTCCCTCCTTCCCTCCCTCCTCTCCTCCCCGCCTCTCTCGCCCCTCCCTCTCTCCCTCCGCTCCCCTCGCCGCGCCTCCCGCGCCGCTGGAGGTCGGTGGCCCCCCCCCCCCCTCCTAAAAAGGAGGGCAGCGGGGCCGCCGGCGGGCGGTGGCACGTGCCGCCCGAGCCGTGAGGGCGACCTGTAGTGTTTAGCCTCTGTCCTGTTGCGCTGCCGCGCGATGCCGGCACCGCGCTCGGGGCGGGCGCCAGAGGAGGAGGAGGAGGAGGAGGAGGAGGAGGAGGAGGAGGAGGAGGAGGAGGAGGAGGAGGAGGAGGAGGAGGAGGAGGGGAGGAGGAGGGAGGAGGAGGAGAGGAGGAGGAGGAGGAGAGGAGGAGGAGGAGGGAGCCGGAGGTGCCGGAGGAGGAGGAGGAGGAGGAGGAGGAGGAGGAGAGAGGAGGAGGAGGAGGAGGAGGAGGAGGAGGAGGAGAGGAGGCGTAGTAGGGAGCGCACAATGACATAAACATAAAAGCTCGGAGATCCGCGCGGATTTTACGTTTGTGTCATTGCTCGTTCCCTTAAGTAGGGGCCTCTTGGATGGGGTCGGAGTGCAGACGGGGTCGGAGGATCGCGCCGCATCGCCGATGCAGCGGCGATGCACCAGCGACGTCGTCGATGCATCGGCGCTGTCGGCGTTGAGACACTCGGGCTCCACATCGAGCCGCACCGCCGATGCATCGGCGATGCGGCGCGATCCTCCGACCCCGGTTGCTCGGACCTCCCATCCGGGAGGTCTACAGCCGGGGGACGGGTTGGCATCACCGGGCACTTTTACCTTTTGTGTGTCGGCCTCCCATTGGGTCCCATGGGCGACGCGCGCGCGCTCAGAAGTCTTACGTGTGTGCTCGGTGGCGGGAACTTTCTGGCCATCCTGCCCGGGTCACGATCTACCGTCAGATGTTTGTAGGGTTGGCGCATCGTACTAGTATGCTAGTCTGTCTTTCTGGGGGGCGGGGGGGCAGTTGGGGACGGGGGGGCGCGCCCTGGGGGGGGAGGACGGCACCCTGCTACCTCCGCCTTTGTTCCCAACCATCCTGTGGTGTTGGGTCCTCGCTTTGAAGAGAGCGCCCCGCGTCCACTCACTCCTCACTCACTCCTCTGCCCCCTCCTCCCTCCTCCCATTCCTGCCTCTGCTCTCACGCGTGCCGTCATCACCATTAGCATCGGCATCATCATCGCCATCGCCATCATCCGCATCGTCATCAGCATCGTGCATCTGCCCCCCGCATGTCAATTTCGGGACACCTCTCACAGGTTTCGTGGCCCCATGGGGATTTCCACCTCAGGCACACCCACACAACACACAACACACAACACACAACGCACAACACACAACACAGACCACACAACACACACCACACAACACACAACAAATAACACACAGCACACGCCACACACCACACACCACACAGCACACACCACACACCACGCAGCACACACCACACAGCACACAGCACGCAACAGACCACACACCACACAACGCACACCACACACCACACACCACGCACCACACACCATACGCCACACGCCACGCACCACACACCACACAATACACAACACACAACACAAACCACAACACACAACGCCCATCACACAAGGCACAACACACGCCAAACATCACACACCACGCACCACGCAACACACACACACACCACACAGCACACAACACACAGCACACAGCACAGAGTACGCAGCACGCAGCACACAGCACACAGCACACAGCACACAACACACAGCACACAGCACACAACACACAGCATACAACGCATTACACACAACACACTCCGCACAACACACACACCACACAGCACACAACACACAGCACACATAACGCACCACACAACAAACCCAACACATAACACATCACACAGACCACACAATCCACACCACACAACACACAGCACACAGCACACAACACACAACACACGCTACACAGCACACAACATACACAGCACTCAATACGCACAGCACAGCACACAACACACACACACACTACACACAACACACACCACCCAACTCACACAACGCACAGAACACACACAACACACAACACAACACAACACAACACACAACGGACACAGCACACAAAACCTACACAAGCAACACAACACACAACACACAATGCACAACACACCCACCCACCCACCCACACACACAGCCACACCCACACCAATACGCAAACGCACACGCTCACGCACACGCACGCACACGCACACACAAACACGCACACACACACACACCCGCACGCACGCACGCACACACGCATCCACACTCACATTCTTACACTCACACTCACACTCCTCACACTCTCACACATTCATACACGTACACACACACTCACAGACCCACACGCTCACACATTCACACATTCGCACATTCACGCACTCACGCATTCACACGCTCACGCACTCACACACTCACACATTCACACATTCACGCGCTCACACACTCACACACACAAACACTCACACACATTCACACACTCACGCATTCCCACATTCACGCATTCGCGCACTCATACATTCCCACATTCACACATTCGCACATTTACGCATTCACACATTCACACATTCACACTGTGATTCATTCACACACACTCACACATTGACTCATTCACAAATTCACACATTCACACACTCGCATACTCGCACACTCACGCACAAACACACAAACACACAAACACACAAACACGCACACACAAACACACACACAAACACGCAAACACAGACAAGCACACAAGCACACACGCACACAAACACACAAACACTCACAAACACACAAACACACAAACACACAAACGTACAAACACACAGAGACACACACAAGAACACGCAAAAACACAAACACAGACAAACACACAGACGCACAAACACACACACAAAAGCTCACGACCACTCACACATTCTCACACACCCCAGCCGCTGCAGGCGCGGTGGCGGACAGCGGCAAGATCCCACGCCAGGCCCTCTGCCGAGGCTGTTTCGGGAGGGCCGGCGCAGTGCGGAGACTCGGCGGTGGTCGGGTGGCGGAGCGGCTGACGAGCTCAATACCGATCGCGAAGGCCTCACGGCCAGTGCCGCCGACCCTGGAAGGGGAAGACGACGGCGTTGACGACGACGGCGACGGGGCCCGGCGACTCGATGGCGACTCGCTGACAGGCCTGAGGAGGAGGAGGGTGCCAGGGAAGGGGACGACGGAGACGACGACCGACGGAGACGACGGCTCGAGCAGACGAGCCCCTCACGCGCGCCGACAGGGACGGCGGACTCTTCAAGGTCGCTCCAGCGCGGCGCTCCCAGAGAGAGAGAGAGAGAGCCAGCAGCCTGAAGCGGCGCACGCCGCAGGTGGCGTCTGAGATTTCCAAGACGCCTCCGGCGAGCTGCCTCCCTCCGCCCTCCGCCTTCTCATGTTCCAGGAGGGGGAA